TTAAATAGCAATAATTATTACCAGTCCGTTAACGGACTGGTACCCATTTCTATAGTTTGTATAGTTTGTAGTTTGTATAAATTAGTTTGTTAGTTTCGCTTTACGTGTTTACTGAAGCGGTTACGGTCCACGGTTTAGTAAACAGTGTTCTTTACGGTTCAGTCAACCTTAGCTTATAATTAGTATTAGGTATGGTAGATTTAGCAGTTAGATTTACTTACACTTCGCAGATGCAAACATCGTTGGCGAAAAGTACTTTAAGCACTTTGTGTGTTTTGGTGTTGGGGGATATTTGAAATATTATATTTTTAATATTTGTTTAGGTAAAATTGACAATATTATAGTAAAATTTAATGAATTAACAAAGTTATTAACAAATATAATAGCGATACATCTCACCGCTGCTTACGAACGCTTGCTTACTATAAATACCGATACTCGCAAAGTCGCGAAGAGTCGGGACGACGCATAAATTCGACGTTATCCCGAAAAATTTTAATACTGATCGGCAAAACGTCGGCAAAATACGTCGGAAAATTATCATCGCATGACCATTGCCGATGTTTCTTATTGATTAAGGTTCGACCTCTCTTTCCGCCATCGCGATGCATCGGGCCGACGCATAAATTCGATGTTATCCAAAATTGTTTTATTAAAATTTTTTAAGGCTGATCGGCCAAACGTCGGGCAATCATAATCGCATGATCATAGCTGATTAAAGTGGGACGTCTATTTTCATCATCAGGCCGACGTATTAATGTTTGATGGGGTGCGTTTAAATTGTTTAGTGTATTTTTGTATCTTACATACTTTTTAAAGAAGGTAAAATTTTGAAATTACAATTAAATTGGATGCACTAGATAATTTAAATGCAAATATTTCGAAAGCGGTTACTCGCAGAGACATTTAGAAAGGATACCTTTTTAACGTAATTAAGATAAAAAAATAATATTTCTATTAAAAACGTGTAAAAAAGATGTTACAATTTAAACGTAGGTATACGAAGAGTTGCAGACAGCGCCCTCTACAACTTACATTAATTCTTCTAAGAAATTTAATTGTCTCGGCCTAAAAACCACGAAAATCAATCTTTGTGCAAAAAAGTTTTTTGAAAGTTATTTATTAAAATCGAAAACGAACTTTGACACCCTGTATCATGGTTATCATTAACTTTTGTATAAAAATAGTTATGTATATCGCATTATTTCGTCCTCAGAAATATGTGGTATCATTTTGTACAGGCATTTCAGAGAGACCTTGTTATAAAAACAGTTTAGTGATTTGTGCCGCCCACGTGCTTGAAATGACCCAGGTATTGCTTAAAATATACCTAACAATAATTGTTATTCCAGACAAAAATTAATATTTATAAAAAATATTAATTTGTGAGATTATTTTTAGAAATATTTTAAGTGATACGTTAAGAATATTTTATGATTTGGTAATAATATATTGCAGGAATAATTTAAGTACGGACCATATAGGAATATTTATATTCTTTTTGTAACAAAAAGGTGTAAATATTAATAAAAAATTATTTTTTAAACAATAACTAGTAAGTTAATAGTATAATATTATTATTAATAATTAATATTGTAAAATTTATATATAAGTAATAGGGTGGGCCGATTTTAATATTTTTCAAATATCAAATTGTGCAATGGTGGAAAAGTTGTGCATTTATAAGGCCAGAAAAATATTATAAGAGTTTTTTTTTTAATTTTAATTTCTTAAACTGCCGCAAGGCCTTGAAAGATCTTAATGTAATTTAGTATCGTTATAAATACGAAAAAAATTATCTGAGAGAAAATAGGGTTAATAAAATTTTTAATGATAAATATTTATTAAAAAAAACAAAAATAAAAATGAATTTATCATCAACACAAATTTAATTCAATTTATAATCCTGTTTTACCTGCCATTTTTCACAAACACCCAAAAACCACAAACAGATACTACTTGTAAAAATTTCTATTATTCTACTAATTGACCATAGATAACAAAGCCTTTAATTTAATTTAATTGACGATGTCAAAATATTATAATTTATATAAACAGTGAAGCCAACTGTCAACCAGGGTTGGGTCAGTAGAAAACCTTAGGTAATTTACCTTGGTAGGAAAGGGCAGAAAACATGTTTTCGACTTGCGTCGAAAACCTATAGGGTTTTCTACCTACGTAAATTACCTTATTCGACCTTCTCCTTCCACTTCTCTATAATTGATAAAAATTTGCCCTCATGCCAAAAATTATGTTGGGGTCTCCCAACCAAACGTGGCCCTTTTTTCCCACCATAATAATGTTAAAAAACTCCAAATAACTTCAAATTTATGGTAGGTGTCTGATTTTTCACAACATTTAACAAATCATAATAAACAACAAACTTGCATAACCTCACATTTTTTTATATTTGACAGTATTCTACTTTTTTACGTTTTCTACCGTCGAGAACGTCGAAAAAGGTTTTCTCGATTTTTATGTAAGAATGTCATATTCTCGCACGCAAAATCGTTGAAGAATGAAGCTCATTCTTAAACGATTTTTGGTAACATTTAGTTTTTAAGTATTGGTAGGACCAATACCAATTTGGTACCCCCAAAATGTCAAACTGATTAATAACCTCAAATTCATTACTTTTATTGAAAATGAAGCCTTTATTATTATTTTGTAATATAAAGTTTGCTCCAACAATGCATTTTAATGCAAAATTTTAAGTTTAATGTGTAAAAGTGCAGTTCAGGTTGTACTTGTGCAGGATAACAAATATTGTCATTTTGTGTTGCCAACTGACATTTTGCGAGAAAAATCCCCTAACTAACAACGACCACAAAACAATTAAAAAAACCTAAATAAAAGTTAAAATCGAGAAAATAGTATAAATCACACGTTGCAGAAGGCTATTCTCGCACTCATTCGTTCGTCCACTCGCTCCTTCGTCGCTCGAGGCCAAATTTCGAATTCGTGCGAGAATATGTGGCCTTCTGCAACTTGTACTTTAATATACTATTCTACTGTAGAATTTCTACATGTCGAAAACAAAAATGTAGGTAGATACCCAACCCTGGAGATGGCCCATCTCAGATGGGCAGGGTTGGGTCAGTAGAAAACCTTAGGTAATTTACCTTGGTAGAAAAGGGTAGAAAACTTGTTTTCGACTTGCGTCGAAAACCTATAGGGTTTTCTACCTACGTAAATTACCTTATTCGACCACAAAACAATTAAAAAAACCTAAATAAAAGTTAAAATCGAGAAAATAGTATAAATCACACGTTGCAGAAGGCTATTCTCGCACTCATTCGTTCGTCCACTCGCTCCTTCGTCGCTCGAGGCCAAATTTCGAATTCGTGCGAGAATATGTGGCCTTCTGCAACTTGTACTTTAATATACTATTCTACTGTAGAATTTCTACATGTCGAAAACAAAAATGTAGGTAGATACCCAACCCTGGAGATGGCCCATCTCAGATGGGCAGGGTTGGGTCAGTAGAAAACCTTAGGTAATTTACCTTGGTAGAAAAGGGTAGAAAACTTGTTTTCGACTTGCGTCGAAAACCTATAGGGTTTTCTACCTACGTAAATTACCTTATTCGACCACAAAACAATTAAAAAAACCTAAATAAAAGTTAAAATCGAGAAAATAGTATAAATCACACGTTGCAGAAGGCTATTGTCGCACTCATTCGTTCGTCCACTCGCTCCTTCGTCGCTCGAGGCCAAATTTCGAATTCGTGCGAGAATATGTGGCCTTCTGCAACTTGTACTTTAATATACTATTCTACTGTAGAATTTCTACATGTCGAAAACAAAAATGTAGGTAGATACCCAACCCTGGAGATGGCCCATCTCAGATGGGCAGGGTTGGGTCAGTAGAAAACCTTAGGTAATTTACCTTGGTAGAAAAGGGTAGAAAACTTGTTTTCGACTTGCGTCGAAAACCTATAGGGTTTTCTACCTACGTAAATTACCTTATTCGACCTTCTCCTTCCACTTCTCTATAATTGATAAAAATTTGCCCTCATGCCAAAAATTATGTTGGGGTCTCCCAACCAAACGTGGCCCTTTTTTTCCCACCATAATAATGTTAAAAAACTCCAAATAACTTCAAATTTATGGTAGGTGTCTGATTTTTCACAACATTTAACAAATCATAATAAACAACAAACTTGCATAACCTCACATTTTTTGATATTTGACAGTATTCTACTTTTTTACGTTTTCTACCGTCGAAAACGTCGAAAAAGGTTTTCTACATGTCGAAAACAAAAATGTAGGTAGATACCCAACCCTGCTGTCAACTGTCCTACGTCAAACACGAAAATCTTTAAAAATATTTATTCTCCATTTTACGCCGTCTCTCCAATAATTGCAATTATTGCAAAATTTACAGTTTGACTTCATACAGTTCAAAACATTAAAAAAGAATAAAAATATTAAAGGAAAATAGTTTACTTTCCTATTTCACAACTTTCCCGCTTATGAATAATTTTAAATTTTTAAAAATTACTTTTAAATTTTTAGAGGCGTTGCGGCAGTTCAAAACATATACCTAGATATGAAAAAAAATATTTTGCAAAAAATGTTTACTTTCCTATTTCACAACTTTTTCTTAAATGCAGAATTTATTATTTTTAAATTTTAGAAGTTAAATATAAAATCGGCCCACCCTATAGGCCTAATAAGTAATAATAATATTAAAAATTTAAATACAAAAATTTGAATCAAAACAGATTTTGTGATAATATATTGCAGGAATAATTTAAGTACGGACCATATAGGTATATTTATATTCTTTTTGTAACAAAAATGAGTAAATATTAATGAACAATTGTTTTTTAAACACTAACAAATAAGTTAATAAATCATGTAATAAATGTGGTTAATCTTAATTAAAAATAAATGTAGTGTTTGCAAAGTGACAGAACAGATTCCTGCTATAATTTTTACTGGTGAAATAGAATTTATTTTAAAAAAATATTCATTACTGTTATAAGTGTATGTGATAAAAGATAATTAGTTAATTAGTAATTGAATTAGATACGTTTAGTTAAATTTAGCAGGAATACTTGGGGGTTATTCCCCTACCTTGTGAACCGTGTTGTGGTGTGGTGTGAACGTTGCTGAATATTGATCTTTTAGGTTAGATCCCTGAGGAGCGAGACACGGCAATTTTAGATTCTAGTGGGGATCAGACATCGAACCTTGCTCGCGGAACGGGCCGACTCGAGACTAGTTATAATTTCATTCCTGCGGATAGGTAAATATTTCGTAATACGGTAGTTCTGACAGCGGCATTGAGCGAATATTTTGTGGTGTATTTTGGGTGGCGTATACTATAAGTGTGCGCGGTTTCATACATTTTTTTCCTGTGCTTTTTACTATAGTCCAAAAACTATACAGTAGCCTGAGAGTCCGCGAGCCGCGTGTAGGTATAATGGCAGTCCCCTTGGCATGCACCAGGTTTTCCGATAATTACGATTTAAAAGAAGAACTGGGAAAGTAAGTAATTGTTTAAATGTTTGTGTATTTTGTCTAGATGTATTTTCATTTTGGCAACACAGTTGCGGCATGCCATTTCACAAAAAGTTACCATCAAAAATAAACCAAAATCCAAATATCACTCGAATGAGCAACCACATAAGTTCCTGAAATGGAAAATTAACTTGTATTGAGCTGTCTAAAATTCAGGACGGCAATTTCACTGAAAATTTCGGCGCTGTTTGAATATCTGCATTGCTTGTAGAAAATCAATATACTCAGGCTCTGCCCTGTGCAAAATGACAGGTGGTTGTCTTTCGAATTCATTTTTTTACCAACGATTTAAACGTTGTCTTAAAGAGTTTTAGCCTGAAATACGCAATAAATAACGCACAACTTTAACTGAAAAGTGGACGCGTACGCGTGAAGTATTGATTGTTATTATTTAATGCCCGCTTTATTATTCACTATTTTATCAACTATTTATTAGCCCATTGTAAACTCAATTTTATTACGCAAATCGCATTTACATTTAGTGCTTTGTTTATTTTAATAAAGTCGAGTTGCGCTTCTCAATTGCATTTTTATACTCATAATTATTATATCACACGTCTTAACACATGCTGTTCTATTTCTAAATTTATTTATTTTATATTCATAGTTCTCACTAAATCGCCAGTACCAGTCGGCGCTTTTATTTTATTTTATTATAATGCCATAATACGTACTGCAGACGTTTTATCTTTTGAAAATATTTGCGCATCCTAGAACAGCTATCATTAAACGTAAAAAATGTATATTTTCAGGAAAGCAATTTAAAATCAATACTACTCATCTAATTCATGGAATAATGGTCCATTATCTTAAAAATTTAAATATTTCTTGTATATGTGGCCTATAGCAATATTTTCATTATAAATAAATAAATAATGGGAATTCCAACTCGTAATTTGATTTGTTCCACGCATATGTACATACATGACATGAGCGTAGGTTTTGAGTAGTGATGCAACGGTTCCGGTTTTTATGGTTACGGTTACGGTTAGCTCTACGGTTACGAATTCATTCACGGTTACCCAAAAAAAATTACAGAATTACAAAAAATAAAGTTTATTTTTCAAAATGAAATTAATATACACGTTCAGTAAAAGTTAAATAATAATTTATGTAAAACAAAAACAGAATTTCTAATAAAAATATAAAACAAAAGGAAATAAGTAACATTTTAAACCTAAAAACAGTAAAGTAAAACCTAAGTAGGTACCTGAATAATATATTTTAAAAAATAAAAAAAGTTAATATTCAAAATTTAAGGCAGTATTTAAAAAAAAACATCTGCAATTCTGCGGAATCAGCCTGTTCCTGTTTGGTATCGTTAAATACTCTTCAATCTTCTTTTTACATGCATTCACAAAGTAGCATGAAAAACCGTAAATGCCGTATACGGTTACGAGTAACCGTATAATATCGAAAACCGTGAATTAACCGTAACCGTAACCGTAACCGTTGCATCACTAGTTTTGAGACATTTTTAGGCAAATACAAATGTAATATTTATAATTTTGCATTGTTTACTTAAGAGGCAATTAATTTATTTTGATTTACCAAGAAATATCTACATTTATTTTTTAAATAATTAAATTATATCAATATTTTTTAAATTTTCTTCAATTTTTAAATATTAAATGGCTCGCGCTATAAATAAATACACTTTTTCCAACTTACATATTTTATAACTCGAAAACTACTTATAAGTAGTTTTCAAGTTATAAAATATTTTTGTATAATAATTATAATAAAAATATATTATAATATATAATAATAATGAATAATCTTTTAAAATAAATTAGTCAAAAATGACTAAAGTCTTAGCGAAAAACATTGATAAAAACACTGTATACACTGTTAAATGTCCCGTTATATGGAAAATTGACTTTATCTCAAAAACTGTTCAACTTTTATAACTTTTGACATTTTCGGAATTAGCGGACCATATTACATAAAAATTGACTGCTAAATGTCCGAGATACGAATTGCTGTTGACTAGAATTATTAGTGGCTGCTTTTTCGCTATAACAATTAATAATTTTTGGCTAATTCATTTTAATAGAGTATTCTTTATTATTATATTATATATTATGTAATATAGGTACTATTATTATAATTATATTTAATAACTTAAAAACTAGTTATACCTAAGAAGTTTTCGAGTTTTAAAAACTGTATTTATTTAAGAAAATGGGGGTTAACTTTTTTTTACAACCAACACCATTTTTGACAAGAAAAAAAGTTTTACAAATTTGCATACATGATATTTTTGAATATTTTGCATACTTAACGAGTAACGATTATACTGTCTTAAAAAGTGCTGGAAATTTTTTTCAGGACACCCAAAAACTTAAAAAAATGGAAAGGGTAGGTGAATAGTCCATTTTTTTGTTTTTGATGAAGTTGGAAAAATCGCTTGGTTTAGTTATCATTCAATCTGAATTATTAACACCAATACCCGAGATATGAACAATTTATACATTTTCTTGAAGAATAGAATATTGCGTAAATTTTAAGCATTGATTACTTAACGCATACATTAGGGTGCTCCATTTAAAACGAACATTATTTTTTTTCGCTGACACATACAAATTTTGTTTCTTTTATCGAAAAAAAAATTCCCTGAACATTTGAGCACATTTTAATTTTAAGTGGTTCCTTTCGATCGATGTATATTTCTAGAGAACAATACGAAATTAAATTTCCTACAAAAATACCCCTGTCTGGATTTTCTGAAGTGCATAGTCCAAAAGGTATAAATAGTTTTATGTATTAAAATCTAAAAAAATATGAAATTTTAATTTTTATTGTATGATTTTTTTAATTTACGCTTTTTTTATCAAAATTAACCTTATTCAACTTTCTTTTTAGAAAAAAAGATCGGTAATATCGGGAAGAGATATTGAAAAAAAATTTTCAACGCCTAATCTTCAAGAATAAAATGTCACATGTGAATTTCTGATATTTATTGAGTGTAAATTTTTTTTTCTTAGTAAAAAAATATACCAAAATTTGCTTTAAAAACAATTAAAATTAGAAAAATAATTTTTGCACCTGATGAGGTCCATTCCAAAACTAGGCTTATCCACTTTTTAATAAAAATGAGTTAGTGGTGTCTGTACATTTAACATGTATGCCCCTATACCCTGAAAAGTTCATAATATTCTAAAACTTACCTTATTCTATTTAAAATTCATTTACAAATTTACTATCGTTCCAAAACTTGCCTTCTATTGGTTATATCATGCAGAACTCGGCATATACATATGTAATTTTAAATTATTTTGAACTGGAGCTATACCTTTTTAATCAAGGTATATAAATGTTTTACTTATGCCTTTATATTTCGTTTAAAGTATTGTGTTTGCCTGATATGCGTTAGTACTCACGTGTAAGGTTTTTGACATTTTGCTCGAAAACAACAGAGACAGACCCTTGTCTCTGGAAAACAACTAATATGGATAAGCCGAGTTTTGGAATGCACCTCCTCACCTGTGGTAAAACAATGATTAAAACTGTTTCAATCTAAGACGCTTTGTTCTCTACATCATACGTTTTACTTACCTCGTATCATGCTTACGTACATTTGAAAACACCACGATAGTAAAATTAGTGTTAAGCCTGATTTATAGATTGCCTTACTTCCTTCATTCCTTCCTTCCTCCCGTAGAAGATGAACAATACAAAAACCGTTGTGCTGTTAAAGATTCCCGTACGTAAGTCTATAAATGGCACTACGATTTTTGTATTGTTCATCTTTTACGGGAGGAAGGAAGGAAGGAAGGAAGAAAGGAAGCAAGGCAATCTATAAATCAGGCTTATAAGCCTGGTTTATAGATTGCCTTGCTTCCTTCCATGTTTTTTATAATATTATAATATTATAAAAAACATGTATTTACTTCTCGATGCGTAACTAATCTATTATTATTCAACTTATCAATTACAAATTCGACTAAATAATTTTACGTTTTTTACCGATTTCTTTACTCATAAATTATGAGTAAAGAAATCGGTAAAAAACGTAAAATTATTTATGAGTCATAATGCTATAAAAGAAGAAGGGACAGAACGATAAAATGAAATCGATGCTCAATTTGACATTATTTTGGAGGTTATATTATAACTTTAACGACACATAACAAGCACACAAATAAATTAAAACAAAAGACATGAATTTGATTGAAGTAGTACCTAAATAAAGTAGAACTAAATATTGAAATTTAATTGTTGAATAAAAATTTATTGTATATAACAGTGTTAAAATTTCAATATTTAGTTTTACTTTATTTACTACTTCAATCAAGTTCATGTGTTTTTTGTTTTAATTTTTTTTATTTATTAATTTTATTCTTGAAGATAAGGCTTTGAAATTTTTTTTTCAATAGTTCTTCCCGATATTACCGATCTATTTTTCTAAAAAAAAGTTGAATGAGTTTAATTATGTTAAAAAAATCATACAAAAAAAAATTAAAATTTATATATTTTTTTTATTTTAATACATTAAACTGTTTATACCTTTTGGACTACGCACCTCAGAAAATCCACACAGGGGTATTTTTGTAGGAAATTTAATTTCCTACAAATTGTTTTCTGACAATTTTTGTTGTTAAAAACGAAAACAAACAATTTTTGAGAAAATTGGTCGACACCGATGAGACGGGTTCAAGTACAAAAAATGTTTGAGGGCACTTTCAAAGAGTCACTAATATACTACAAATTCTGACTAATCGCAATGAAATACCCGAGGAAATACCATGAAATCAAACGGAGCTATATTAATTTAAATTTAAAAAATCATGCATGATTTACATGAAATCATGATTTACATGTTATTTAAATGGGAAATATACATCGATCGAAAGGAACCACTTAAAATTAAAATTAAAGGCTCAAAATTTCAGGGAATTTTTTTTTCAAAAAAAGGAACAAAATTTTCATGTCAGTGAAAAAAAAATAATGTTCGTTTTAAATGG